AACCGTTTCTCTCTCCTCCATTGGCACAACTCAACTCATAGATTTCACAGATCTCTCTGTGCAACTCCAATTCCCAATCTCCCTCTCAACATTCTCTCACTAAACACGTGTATGTATATGTTAGTGTGATACCACCGGCGACATGATAGCTGAGTCAAATTTGTCAGTTTTGGGTTTATTATTTTTGTTTCCAGGTGCGGCACACCATGGCAATTTGAGAAACCCACGTCTTTCTTCTTCTTCCCCAACCACCAGCTCCAAAACGCCATCAACCTTGTGAACACATACCTCTCCGGCAGCTTCTTCCCGACCGTCTATAACCTCCACCTCTATGACCTTGGCATCAACAAGATCTTTTTAGTAGGGGTATTTTTGAAAGAGTAAAAGGGTAAAATACGCATTATATTTATTGAGAAGTGTTTTCGCACAAATTGAAAAGAATAGGTGTATTTTTTGCATACCTTTTTAAATATGGGGTAAAGGTGCCATGAAAGGTATACTTCAGGGATGTTTCTTGCACTTACCCCATAAACTATATCTATATGTGTAGAAGAGATGAAGAGTTAGTTTGGTCTATTAAATTTAGTTAGGAGGTTAAATTTGTAATTTTATTAGTTAAATAGAGTTGTTGGCAAGTTAAGAGTTAAAACGTAATTTCATATGGTTTCAAAGGTTTGGAAAGGTGTCAAAGCACATTTTTTGAAATTTCAGAGGGTGTCAATGTAACAGAAGTCATTAACAGTTCGCTAAATGACGTTGACCAAAACCTCAGCGAATGTTAGTGCAATTTACCCTACTAATTATTGAGGGGTTTCTTATTCTACCTTGTAAATAATAAAATTTCTTTGCTTATTTTTCTATCCTCTGGTCACCACCATATATATATATTGACTTAAAATGTCCACGTTATTGAATCTAAATTGCAAAATCGAACCCTACATAATTCAATTGAGATATTTTCAAAGATGTTATCCTTTTCAAGGTGTCACCAAATCCTATACTCGTACTCGACATTAATTCTTGGTGAGCAAACTCTCATTTAACTTCTCATTTGTTAGCGTTTGAGGTGTGTGTAACATCGTGTATCATAAACAATTTATTATTGAATTTGAAGTTTTTCTTTTCTTTTTTAATTTTGATGGACAAATTGTAATACCAACTTCCAAAAAAATACTCCCTCTTTCCCATTTTAAATGTCCTCTTTAAAAATTGTGACTTACAAAAATATATATATACTACTCCCTCTGTCACACTTTAATTGTCGCCTTCGAGAACCGTGATTTAGAAACACATTATATAACACACACACACACACACACACATATATAATGTGTTATCAATAATTTATTAATTACCATCTCCCCAATTCTAAGAAGCACTGCACAAACTTATACTAAGATGGTTCTCACACGAAATGGAATGTGTGTGTGGAGAGAGAGAGAGAGAAAAAAAGCGAGTGCGCGCGTGCGGGGGGGGGGGGGGGGGGACAACTTTTTAACATTCAATTTTTAAAAGGTAGAGTCATATCTAATTTCAAAAATAACATTGACCTTCTCTATGGTTACGGTCAAAGTAACACTAAAAGAAATTTGTATTCATATATTGAAATGATAAAAGTACAATATGTATAATTGTCATTTCATGCCTTTAGTAAACCAACTACATGGTTAAGTCTCATGCCTTTAGTAAACCAAATACATGGTTAAGTCACTCGATCATTCTCAACGAGTGTCGTTTTTACGCTCTGAGCGCACTCCCGCTTCCGCTCTCATGCTTTGCGCACACTTTTACTCAAATTCTAACTACTTATGACTTAATTATGCCACTCTTACGCTCCCGCTCTCAAATTTGCTCTCGCTCTCACTACTGCTTTATGTGACTTAGTTACATGGTAACATAGTATTATTTTTTAAGGGTGAACTACATTAAACCCCACTTTTCTATTTGCGTTTTGCACTAAATTCCCATTTTCTATTTTTTGGCCAAAAAACCACGTTAACTATCTAAAGGGGTGACTTAGCAAACGGACATTAGCTGAAATATAAATTCAATTAAATACCCATTAGACCTATTTGAAAATCTACTTTGTGGGAACATCTTACTTTTATTTATTAAATAACCTAAATGACATCGTTCATTTAAATTAACACTTCTACTATTTTTTTTCTTACTATTTTCACATTTTACTAGTTTGTTGAGGAGATAAAAAAATAAAGTTTTGAAAGCAGTATTTTATCTAATTAAAAAAAAAAAATCTATTTTGTTTGTAAAAGCATAAGTTAAACAATTTCTGAGTAATGTTATGATGATCGTCAAGCTCACATTAGTCACGTGAAATAAATAGATTTTTTATAGAAAAAATATATATATATTGAAATATATTTAAATAAAAAAATTAATAAAAAATATGTAGGCATAAATAATTAAAAAAAGGAAAAAAAAAAATAGGCATTATTTCTCGTAGCGGTAGAAGAAGAATCTCTTTAACAAATATGTATAAAATTAAAATTAGTAAAAACCAAAGAGATGAATGCACAATATAATTCTTATAAAAATAAAAAATAAAAATAAAAAAGAGATAAATTTCAAGGAAAACCCCGGATTTATATAGGTTTGAAAACTGGATGGAAATGCAAATATAGTATAAATAATATTTAATGGTACATATTATATATACCATTATATTATGATACATATTACATGTAACATTATGTGGGTAAAAAAAGTTGACTAAAAAAAATAGTACGTGCTGCTGCAAAGGTGGAGGATATACGGCTAAAAGTGATAATGGAGTAAATATATATGTGGGGTATATTAAAATATGTATATGGGCATTATTGTCTCAAAAATATATGAGAAAATTCAATGTCCAAATAGCTCCCTTTTAGCTAACTTAAATGGTACTTGTGTTGTGGGACCGTTACACTTGTTTTAAGAATATATATATATATGTACATATATATATATATATATATATGTACATGGGCATTTTTGTCTCAAAAATATATGAGAAAATTCAATGTCCAAATAGCTCCTTTTTAGCTAACTTCCGTTAGTTAAATCACCCCCTATAATAGTTGAGGGAGGTTTTTTGACAAAAACGAAAAAGATGGACTTAGTGCAAAATACAGATAAAAAATAGGATTTAATTTAATGCATTTCACCCTATTTTTAAAATCATACGAGTGGTGCCTGATATTTAGGCATTTTATTGGAAAGGTCAGTGTAACATTCAATTTTAGAAAAAAACACATGATTATTGAGTTTTTTCTCTATTATTATTATTTTTAATGTAATTAGTTTGTTTCTCACAAAATGTGTCACAAACCAGTAAAAACAAGTCATTACTCAATGTGGTTTCCTTTATTTGCACATCTCCCTTATGATTTATTTTAGGCTTCGTTGTTTTGATAAACATGAAAGAAAAAGAAATGAAATGATATCATTAGTTATAAAATAAATAAATAGAAAAGAAATTATAATAATCATCTCTATTAATTATATTTGGATAAATTATCAAGAAAAATAAAGGAAATGATAATTTTTTTTTTTTGAAAAGGTTGAGGAGAGAAGAGAAAAGAAAAGAAAGAAATAATGACAACTAAATCATTATCATATCATTTTATAAGATGGGCCTCAAGTGTCATAACATGTTTCTTCATTTAATTGTTGAAGGTAATTTCGAAATTATGAAAGCATTACTTTTTCTTTTATTTTTTTTTCACCTATTAATGATTAAAGAATTAAGAGTTAATATTATTTAACCACTATCCTTTTCTCTTCAAATTTTCGTATTTTTTCAAAAATAGTATACGAAAGATTTTAAGAGAAGTATCCCACATTTCTTTCTTTTTTTTCTCTATTTAAGATAATTTAACCACACTCCAAGTTAATTTTTTTTTTTCTTTTCTTTCATAATCATTCAATTGGACATTTTATGCCTAAAATATAGATTTCCGTAGCATGTATTACAAACAGCTACGAGTACATTTTTTTTTACCCAAACATTTTTGTGATGAAAATTGAATTAAAGGGTCCCGTTCTTCTCAAAATGGCCCATGTTATGAAAACCTAGGTTGAATGTGTCATTATCACAAAAAGGCTGCATTTCTTTCTGGGGTGCAGTGTCCCTTTGGAATCTCAAGGTCCCATTTGAAGCCAATCATGTGTCGAAACGTTGTGGGTATCTGCCACCTATACAGTGTGTGTGTGTGTGTGTGTGTGTGAGCTAGCCTGTCTATATATTTCTACAACCACTTTCTTTGGACAAATGTCCATGTACATTAAACTTGTACTTTTTGGTACTTCGTTACTGACATTGCTCGCCTGGATTATTCTAAGTAGTCTTCACCTCTCTGTTGTGGTGTGATACCGTAATCATCTCCCACACAAGTTTGAAAATATTTTACTACTTAATTATGTAAATACATTTTTAAAAAATTGAAGTAAACGGAAGGTATGCAAAACAAATAATTAAAAATGAAAAACACACTCTTCTTCGCATTCAAAATTGTTGGACTATAATTTATACATATGGCAAGTAATCATCACATAGACAATGTTTGTTTAGATGTAAAATTTATTTTTATATTTTTAGTGTTTAATTGTCATAAAATATTTATAAATTTTAAAAAAAAATTTAATAAAAATAATTTATTTGTAAATTTTTAATAATTTATTTTACATGTTTCGTCTAATAGTCGATTCAAACTAACCTAAATATTTGCCAAATGTGAAAAAAAAAATAATAAATAAATCAAATATATTTTATGTGAAATATAAAAAAAAACTTTTTCAAAAAAAATATTTTAAAAACAAACAGACCCTAGATATTACATTAAAATTTTAATATAGACATATTATTATAAATGATGTTTGGAGGTTAAAGAGCTGAGGAATAAAATAGATTACTCATTTCTTTAGATGTGGAAGTATTTTTATTTATTTATTTTTTTTTTTTTTCTGGCAAAGACAAACAGAAACCAAACACAACCAAAAAACTAAGAACCAATATCTGCCACAACAAAAAGAACAACAGATGGAGGTAAAGAAGATAAAAGCTGATCCGCCCCAAAGCCATTCCGTGAATGAGCTGCCAACTCATGAGCCACCCGATTACCCTGGCGACACACATGAGTCAAAGAAACAGATGAAAAACGCCGCCAATCCCGTGTAATATCAAAACATAACGAAGCAATTTCTGAAGGACAAGTCGCCCTGCGCAACACCGCATTCACCACAACTACGGAATCCGATTCAAACCAAACACACGAAAAGCCTAAATCCAACGCACAAAGAACGGCTCGTTGACACACTACCACTTCTGCCTCCAACGAAGATGAAGCAGAAAACGAATGAAAAATAATTGCCTGAAGAACATGACCCCGAAAATCATGGAAAACTGCTCCACCTCCCCTTTGCAAGGATTGCCCACAAAAAGAAGCATCAAAATTACACTTCACACAACCAGCTGGAGGAGGACTCCACGAATCCACCAAAAGGATAGATGGAGCATGCTGCAAAGAAGAAGAAAGGGTCCGAGCATCATAAAATTCCCAAAAACTGGCAACCGCCCTCCGAACCACAACCTCAGGTTGCCATAGAGACCCCTCAAAAACCAACCGATTCCGAGCTTTTCAAGTACCCCAACAACAAAAAGAAATTAAACTAAAAACATTATCAAACTCCGAAGAGAGAATAACCTTCTGTAATAGAAATGTCCAAGCAACCCGAAAAGAATGAAAAGAAATAACCCAAAAAATCAAGCCGCAATGGAGATAACTTCCACACTTGAATGGAATGAGAACAATAAAACAGAAGATGCACAACAGTATCCTCCTGTAAACCACAACGAGGACAAAGAGACGATACCACACAGCCGCGGCGCAACAAAGTGACGCGAACCTGCAAAGCAGACATACAACAACGCCAAAAAAAATGATGCACCTTAGACAAAGTGCGACACCGCCAAATAGAAGACCAGTCCCCATTATTATGATTAACCCCTGAAAAGTTAGACATGAAAATAGCCAATTTATAAGCAGATCGCATTGAAAACTTACCCGACCTTTCTGGATTTCAAATGACTTCATCCGGTTTATCTCACCTACTGATACGAATTTTGAGAATTTCTTGCACCGTACTAGGAGGGAATAACTGAAACAAAATGTCTACCTTCCACGAAGATGTAGAATAATCAATCAACGCATCCACAGAATAAAATGGAGGTAGATCCGGGGGTAAAGGAAGCTTCTCCGGAAGCGTAAGAACCCAATGATCCTTCCAAATATGCGTAGAGGTTCCATTCCCAATCAATGAGCGGACTCCCTGACCTAAGAAACTCTGAACAGACCAAATACTACGTCAACCCCAAGAAGGATTACAGCCCAACGAAGTTTCCAGTATTGGCGAATCAGGAAAATACTTAGCTTTATAAAGCTGATATAACAGCCCCTGCTTTTGCCCCTGAAAATGCCAAGCATGTTTAGCTTAAAGAGTTAAATTAAACGCCTCCAGATCACAAAAGCCAAAACCACCGGCAGTTTTACTCTGGCAAAGAAAGTCGCAGGGAATCCAATGAATGGCCCTTATTTTGTCCTTATTACACCACCAAAAAGAATGAATATGCCGCATCAAATCTTAACACAACGTATTGGGAAGCTTAAAAGAAGACATAACATAGGTAGATAAAGCACTTAACACGGCCTTAATCAACACCTCTTTGCCACCCGTGGATAGAGATTCTGCCTTCCAAAAAGAAAGCCTATCCTGAATTTTTGTCAGAAGAAACTGAAACACCTCCCATTTAGAGCGACCCAAAATAGCCGGCACCCCAAGATACCGACTATGAAAACCCTGCATCTATAAGCCCAACGAGTGACACAGAGAACGGCGCAAGGAAGGAGGAGTATTACGAGAGAAAAACACAGATGATTTACTAAAATTGACTTGTTGCCCAGAGCCCCGTTCATAATATGCCAAAATACCTTTTAAAACATCCACTTCTTCTTGACTAGCAGCACAAAACACAATAGAATCATCAACAAAAAACAAATGAGAAATAGACGGCGCTCCCCGACAAATACTAATACCAGATAACAACCGCGCTTGCTGAGCGCCCAAAATAGCAAGAGAAAAAGCTTTTGCACAAATAATAAACAAATAGGGTGACAGATGATCACCTTGACGCAGACTCCTAGATGGTTTGAAAAAACCCACAGAAGTCCCATTAATTTTTAACGAGTAAGAAACTGTGGAAATATAGGCAAACCAATGGGCATTCAATCCCAGCCTTGATAGCATGTGCAATAAAAAGTCCCATTCAATCCGATCATAAGGTTTACTCATGTCAAGTTTTAATGCTAACAACGCCTTACGCCCCGTACGTTTGTTTTTCAAATAATGCAAAAGTTCATGAGTAATTAAAATATTATCAGTAATGTGACGACCTGCAACAAACGCACTTTGAGATGCACTAATAAGGGAATCAATAATCCCTTTCAACCGGTTAGTCATAATTTTCGCAATAATACGATAAGAAACATTACACAAAGAAATGGGGCGGTAATGACTAACTTGCGTCGGCGAAGAAATCTTAGGAATGAAAACAATATTGGTATGATTAAAACAGGATAATAAATTTCCCATAGCAAAAAAGCTAGAGACAGCCTCAACAACATCCCTGTGTATTACCGCCCAATATTTCTGATAAAACAGCGGTGTCATCCCATCTGGCCCAGGAGCTTTCATCGGTTGCATAGAAAAAATCGTCTGCTTCACTTTTAATTCTGTCGGAGTCAACAAAAGATTGGCATTCATTTCCTCAGAAATCCGGACAGGAACATACTGTAAAAACTGAGCAATATTCGAAGGATTGGACGTTTGAAACAAATTCTGAAAATAACTCAGAAAGACCGTATGGACTGCAGACTCCTCAACCACCCACTGATTCCCAACATCAAATACCCCTGAAATGGTATTTCGACTTCTCCTTCTTCTTGCAGTGACGTGAAAAATTTGGTATTCCGATCCCCTTCCTGCAACTAGAGGAGGCGAGACTTTTGTTTCCAGAATAATTCTTCCTCTAACCAACATGACGTGAGATAATTTTCTAAGTGAGCTACTTCAGCATGACAATAATTAGAAGTGCGAGCCCGCAACTCTCGAATCCGTGCAACCGTAGTATCCATGTGAGCTCGGGAATTAAGATTGCGAAGCTTTGCCCAACGAATGAGATCAACTTTGCAATGGCGTAATTTTTGAGCCCACTAAAATTGAGCGGAACCATTGATCGGCATAAACCAGGCCAAATTAATAATTTGGCAATAATCATCCAAAAAAATCCAACGAGCATCAAAATGAAATTGCCGATTCCGAGGCTTACCCTCAGGCAAAAGTGTAAGAAACAAAGCATAATGATCAGAGCCAATCACCGAAAGATGAGATAATTGAGCCCGAGGAAAAGCGGAAATCCAATCCTTAGTTGCCAACTCTCGATCCAAGCATTCCTGAATATTAGCTGAGCCATCCCGCTGGTTAGACCAAGTAAACGAAAAACCCACATAGCCAATATCCAACAGAGCACAACGATCAATTAAGGTACGAAAGGAGCGAAGCTGCCACCCCTGCTTAATGCGACCCCCATGCTTACAGAAATATGTAAAACATCATTAAAATCACCAATAAGAATCCACAGGCCACACCAATAATGAGCATTCCTAACAAAATAGTCCCATTGGAGAGCCCGTTCCCGATCGACAGTACTAGCATAAATGAGAGAAAAATACCAAGGTAGCTGATTAGGGGACAAAACAACTACAGTAATAGAAAAACAATTTTTATCGACCACCCGTAACTGAACATTATCAGACCACCACAGGGCCAACCCACCCGCGATCCCATTCGGTGCAACCAAACACCTATTAGAAAAGCCTAACACTTTTTGAACAACCATAGACCTCCTCAAGTTTTTTGTTTCTAGAACACCAATTATATCCAGCGAATATTGATATTTCAAATGTTTAAGTTGCTGAACTGTAGACACAGAGCCCAGCCCTCGGCAATTCCAAATAATAATATTAGGACAAGCATTATGGGAAACAGAAAAACAGACCGGGGCAGCAGTAGAAGATGAAGCAAAAGAATAAGAAGTAATTGGCATTACCCGGCTAGATGACATACCAAACCTGCACTAATTTGGGCTATAACAACAATGGTCCATGATCTAATGCCAGACACAACCCACCAATGAAAAAGGCCAAACCCAGTAATGCCCAGACCCACCACCCACCACCAAAACAAAGTCCAAACACAAGGAGAACCTGCACAGTCCAACAAGCCCAAACCCAATCACAAATAACAAGAGGCAAGCAAAATAAGTGAACCACAATACACCACGTATGTAATACCCCTAATTTTAAAAGGATAGTCTCGGCATTTATTTATTATTTTTATTGTATTTTTGCATGATTATTTGGATTAATTATTTTTATTTATTGTTTTGATGTAATTGTTTACCTATGTGTCATGTGTTTTAAATTGAATTAAGTTATCTTTTATTCTTTAATTGGCATTTTATTGTTTAAGTGTTTTTAATTATTTAATTGGGTTATTTAATTAGAATTAATTATTATTATTATTATTTTTCATTTAATTCTGTTTTAAATTACAGTTAAATTTAGGGTTGCAATTACATAGGTGGCCGACGTAGGTATTTATCTTAGGTCGGTTTATGGGCCGAGATGGGCTCTGGCTTTAAGGTTACATGGATTAGGGTTTAATCACTAAGCCTATAAGTATGTGTGTCACGGTGGTTTAGGGTTTGAGAATAATTAAACGTAATTTCTGTAAAAACAACAGAGACCGTGAGATACAGAGAGAGAGAAACAGAGAGCAGTTGTGGGAAAACTGTAATACCCCGATAATTTAAAGGATTTATTAATTGGGATTAATGAATTTTATTTTATTTTTAAATGATTTATTTTATTTAATTGAATGTTTAGATTAATTGTCTCATTTTAGTTAGATTTTATTTTGTGATTATACATTTATTGAATTGATATGATGATTGATGTGTGTGTATTTAATTATTGATTGAATTGTGGCGTATTGAGATGATGTGACTTAGTTGTAAATTCTTATTTGTTTATGTGTTTTATGTAATTAGTATTTTAGTTTAAGTATTTATTTAATTATTTTATTTATTTAGATTAATTGGTTTGGGCATAAGGAATGTTGGACCAAAGGATATGGTCTTGGGCTTGGATGAAGCCTTGATGGGTTAATTAATAAAGGCCAATGGGTATTTGATTATTTAAATAATCATTTTTATTGATTTAATTATATATAAATATAATTAATTGATAAGGGTTACAGAAGGATATAGGTTTATGGATATATATATATAGGATTTAGGATTTAATTAACCGATGGTTAATTATGGGAGATATATATATGCATAAGTAATATAATATATGTTTATATATATATATATATTATATTATTTAAATAATATTAGTTTATTATTTTATTTTGTAATCCTACTAGGAATAGGATTTAGGGTTTAATGTGTATAAATATACACATAAGGTTTAGGGTTAAGAAGTTTTCACGTTAGAAAAATAAAAGAGACAAAGAGGGAAGAAGAAGAGAGAACGGACAAGGAATAGGCTGGATCTGAGAAAGCGGATACCGAAATTGGAAGAGACAATCAAAGGTTAAAGCTTCGATTTCGTTTCGAAATCTTCAGGCAAGTTGTCTCTAACTCTCCTCTTAGGACCCATAAATTTATCACCTTGGGTGCCAAAATTTAGTTTAAAATCATTAATTAAATCATGTTAGATCGAAAAAATATATATATATAAATTATTATATTTAATTTGTGTATTCATTGGATTTTAATTATGTATATAGGTGTGGTATATATGTTTTTAAAATCAATGTATAGGTAAATTTGTGACCCAAAAGGGTTAATTATTTTTCTGGAATTTTTCTAGAATTTTCGGAATTTTTCTATATTTTTCTGGATTTGTTTTATATTTTTATGATATTTTTATAATTATTTATGTGTATAAAAAAACTAATATATATGCATACTGGGTACACGAATTAGAGGTCTCTGTGCATAGAAACGATTCTGATTCGGTGCGGTCAGGTACATTACACTACGGTGCGCCTCAAATCAAGACCATGGGATGGTCCTGATGACCAGCGAAGGTTCTGGTGTGATACGGTGCATAGGAATTTGGTACACAAGCTGATCTTGGCCATTGGATTATTTAAAGTTAACTAGATTGATTCAGTGTAATGCGGGTGCATGGAGGTTCAATGTACCATAAATTTGAACCTTAGATGTGGCTGATTGAAAGGAGAGTTGATGTGATGTGGTGCTAGTGCATGGAGGTGTATAGAGATGCGGTGAACTGATCCTATGTGACACGCGCATAAGGACCAGTTTACATCCAGCAAATGAGAGAGCACCACGTCAGCCAGAGGAAGAATCAGGTGCATGGGCGGCGCGTGAGAGCGCGTGGGGGCGCGTGAAGCCACGTGGCTTCTTGTGGAGGCGCGTTCTAGAGTTTTAGGCGCGTTTGGCGGCGCGTGGGGGCGAGTGAGGAGGTGTTCGGAGTCCCGGAAAGGTCCTGTGGGGTCCGGTGAATTTTTAGAATTGATTTTAAGCCTGTGAGGGTTGAAAATAACCACTTGAGGAGGTGTTCTTGGTATTCTAAGAACCATAGAGTGTTACTACGAGGATTAGTAGTAATTGTTTGGAGTAAATATAATAATATATTATATTGTTATGGAGGGTGGTTTATATATGTGTATATATATTTATATATATGTATATATGTGTACACATGGAG